TGGGAGGAGTGGAGAGGAATGAGGAGTGGGGAGGAGTGAAGAGCAGGCGGGAGGAGTGGGGAGGAGTGAGGAGGAGTGGGAAGAAGTGGGGAGGAATAAGGAGTGGGGAGGAATGGGGAGGAGTGAGGAATAGGGAAGAGTGGGGAGGAGTGAGGAAGAGTGGGGAGGAGTGGGGAGGAGTAGGGAGGAGTGAGGAGGAGTGAGGAGTGGGGAGGAGTGAGGAGTGGGGAGGAGTGGAGAGGAGTGGGGAGGAGTGAGAAGGGGGAGGAGTAGGGAGGAGTGAGGAGTGGAGAGGAGTGATGAGTAGGGAGGAGTGAGGAATGAGAAGGAGTGTGGGAAGGAGTGGGGAGGAGTGGGGAGAAGTGAGGAGTGGGGAGGAGTGAGGAGATGTGGGGAGGAGTGAGGAGGAATGTGGGGAGGAGTGGGGGAATTGTGGGGAGGAGTGAGGAGGAATGTGGGGAGGAGTGGGGGAATTGTGGGGAGGAGGGGGAGCAGGGGGAGGAGTGGGGAGTTGTGGAGAGGAGTGGGGAGGAGTGAGGAGGAGTGTGGGGAGGAGTAGGGAGGAGTATGGGAGTTGTGGGGAGGAGTGGGGAGGAAAAGAGGAGCCTGAGGGGCAGACCTCAAAGTCGGGCCGACACAAGCGCTGCCCCATCTGTGGTGGCCAAACCTGGAGCTGCTGCCCTGAAAGGAATTTCCTGGACATCAGTCAGACTAGCTGCATGTACAGTGGCTTTCCAGAAAGTTCTGTCTGCAGCCAGCGCTGAGGCAGTTTTCTTGGAGACAGCAGCCGTCCGTGCCCCGCGCGGAGCAAGGCCACCGGCTGAGCCGGGAACTGAGAGGCTGCAGGCACCTCGGTGAGCCCCGCTGGCCTCCATTACGCCGCAGGCTCCACAGGGGCACCACAGCATCCCTCTGCGACCTGTGTCTCTGGTGCATGGCTCCCGGGGCATCGGGGTGTGTGGCAATCCCTCACGGCCAGCCAGCTGAGCGGGAGCAGCGAAACCCAGACAGACCCAGCACAGCCCCACAGACCTGCCCCCTCCAGAACCACAGCGCGCTGGTATCAGATCAACCTGGAGAGGCCAGGAGGTCCCGGGCCTGGCCTGCGCGCTGGGCAGAGCACCCCGTGTCTCTCCCTGGGCTCCTGCAGAGCAGAACCTCCAGATCTGGGGCCACGCTGTGGGCACCAGCAACCACTGTCCCGGAGGTCACCGGGAGGGGTCTTTGGGGCAGATGTGCCCTGTCCCCTGCCCCCCGGCGCATGTGTCCTTGCACTGTGCCCTGCTTGGGCCCGGGCCAGATGCGGGGACAGGTCCCCCACAGAAGCCTCATCTGCATGAAGATGAAGCACCCAGCCTTCACCCACCACTGGCCAGCAAGAGGCCGCAGCTTCCACACCAAGGACCAAGGAACCCAGTCATCTTGGTGGCTGCCCTGAGCCCTCCCATTCCAGGGTCTCCGAGTAAACCAGGGTGCTCTTGGGTGTTCCAGGCTATGACCTCCAGTACCATGTGCTCCCCAGAAGTCACACAGGAGCTCAGTGGCAGTTCCTGTCCCCAGCTCAGCCCTCACCGGTGACCACCTGTGCCCCTCCGTGCATCCCCAAGGCCAGTGCCCATGCTAAGGGAACGTATCCTGCGTCCACTCTCTTCACCCCTGCAGGGCCAGCCCCAGTATCCGCACTGAGGGAATGTGTCCTGTGTCACTCTCCTCATCCCCTCACGAGGCCAGGCCATGTCCTCACTGAGGGAACGTATCCCACGTCCACTCTCCTCACCCCCTGCAGGGCCAGGCCGACAGCACTGTGGTGGGCTCGGACGTACTCACTGTGAATGTTTAGCTAGGCTCACCCAGGAGCAATCCTCCAGCACCGTGATTCCCTACCCACTGTGGGGTCCTGCTCCTCAGGGACACTGAGGGTCAGGGTCTGGGGATACATCAGGTGAGACCACTGGGCTCCCACCCGGCCATGGACCCCCAGGATAGAGATTCTGCCTCAGCATCTGCCAATCAATGGGAGAAGCCATGCCCTCCCTCCAGTGACGCCACAAGCTGGACAGTCACTGAGCTGCCCAGAAACCCAACCTGTGGGCATCCTGCCGGAGGCATCCAGGCACCCCACTCCAAGCTGAGGGAGAACCGGAAATCTCCAGGCCACGGACCCCCTTTGTGAAGCCTCAGGACTGCTCCCTGCGCCTCCCCTCTCATGACCATCAAAGAGGTGGTCAGCTCCCTATGGCTTCAGCCCCTGCACCTGCCAGGCCCTAGGGAGACCCAGGGTCTGACCCAGAGCTGGGCTGAGTGCCACCGCCCCCTGGTGGCTGTCCTGCCACAGGGACAGCGCCACCATCACAGGGCTGGTGCCCATGTGGCAGCCTCTCCCCTGCATGGGGGCGCCCGGCTGCCTCACTCCCACAGATCATCTGTACCGGAGGAAACTGGACGGTGTTTGTGTCCATGAGGAGACTCTGGACAGTGTCTGTGTCTAAGGAGACTGCGGACGGTATCTGTATCTGAAGCCTGTAGATAGTGTTTGTGCCCGTGAGGAGACTGACCGTACCTGTATCTGAAGACTGTGGATGGTGTCACTGTTTGTGAGGAGACTGCAATGTGCCCATGAGGAAACTGGGCAGTTTCTGAGACTGTGGATGGCTACCTGTGTCTGAAGAGACTGTGGCTGTCTTTGCTCAAAAGGAAACTGTGGGCAGTGTCTGTCTGAGGAGACAGTGGACAGTATCATACCTGAGGAGACCATGGACAGTGTCTGTGTCTGAGCAGACTGTGGACATTGTCTGTGTCTGAGACTGTGGACAGTGTTGTACCTGTGGAGACCATGGACGGTGTCTGTATCTGAGGAGACTGGACAGTGTGTCTGAAGAGACTGTGGCTGGTCTCTGCTCATAAGGAGACTGTGGAGTCTGTGTCTGAGAGACAGGGAGGGTGTGCTGGTAGGAGGCTGCCCCAAGTGACAGTGTGTGGCAGGATCTCAGGGGATGAGCAGTCATCTCCTCCCAACCCCAGTTCCATGGGGCAGGGTCACTGTCCAGAAAATGGGGTAGGGACAGCGGTTCTTTTGGGGTGCTGTCAGCGCCATCCCCCGTCTCACCTGGGGCCCTGCCAGGAGACTCTGACCCCACAGTGGCTTACCGGCCAGGCTGCCCACCCCCACTGGGCTCCCGTGAAATGGCACTGTCTCCACCCCGCAGGCCACTCTCCTGTGAAGCTCCTGCCTCTGCCCCCTGACACGGAGCAAGATCCTCGGTGCTTCATCTGTTTTGCTGACTGGGAAACTCAGATGAGAAGGGCCTGGGCAGGGGTGGATGTTCCGAACATGCAACTCACAGGCCCGCAGTCAGGGGACAGCTGTGCCAGGCCCCATGGGGGACACAGCAGGGGAGCGTCAAGGGGGGGGGGGGCACACCCTGCCCAGCTCCACCAAGGGCCACAGGATCCCGCCAGCACACGCTCCAGCCCCAGGACTCCGAGGCCACTGGGCAGTGTGATCCTTCTAGAAGGAGACAAGAAACAGTCTCAACCAGAGTCTCCAGGGAGAATGTTCTGGACTTGGGTTGAAAGGCGTGGCCATGGAAGCCATCAGTGTACTGATGGAGCCCAAGTGCCTGAGTGCCGTGGAGGAGGGTCCCACGTCAGACACCCTTGCACCGAGGCAGCACAAAGACAGCTCTGTCAATGGCCACGGAGTCCATGGACTCACAAGCGGTAGGCTGACGCTATGCCACGGGAACCATCCCCCCCACCCCTGGGCCTCGGGGGCTGCAGGCTCCACACGTGCCAGCATCGGCACCCCTGGGACCACCCCCGCCCTGCTGTGCATGACGTGTTCTCCAGGGCCCCCTCAGCTGCTCCCTGGGCTGCAGCCCCTCCTGATGTGCGTCTGTGTCCATCTGTGAGATGTGTTGGGACACAGGGACAGAACCTCCTGCCCAGGCCCCTGCTGCCACACACACGTGCACACACTCCACTACAGGGCAGCTCCGACCCATCCAGACCTGGAAACACGGTTGGTCGAGTCCCAGGGCCACGTCACCACGATACCCTGTGATGGGTCACTGGCATTCTGCTAAGCTCTTCAAACGGTTTGTGAATTCTTGATGTGTTCTGGGTATTAGTATGTCACAGGAGCCTAACACGCACACAAACGCCTCCCTGCACGAGGTGGGTGCTCGTTCATGGATGGTCACATCCAGCAGTGCCCAGGGCACGTGGGACCCTATGGCATGCCAAGGACTGAACCAGGTCAGCCACACATAGTGTCTTTCCCTGTACTATCTCTCCGCCTAGGTGGACACTTGTTAAGGGCAACACCCTGTGGACACTGGGCCAGAGGACGCCTGGGGCTCCCAAGAGACAACGTGGATGCCCACACAGGCCATCTGCGGGAGAATGCCCGCCCCAGCTTCTCGCTCTGGGCTTGTTCCAGGCCTGGTTCCTGGGTGACTCGCGAGCACCCCTGTTCGGGCCCACACTGGAATCCTGACAGCTCTGCTGTGCCCTGGCGGATGTGGGAAGCGCTGCTTCTCCCTGCATCTGAGCTGCATCCACGTGGGGCCTCCGGTCTGCACACGGCACTGGGGTGCAGTGGCCACATGCAACCGTGTGTCCAAGGCGCTCCCCCTGCTGGGGCCTTCCACACCTCCCCTACAGTCCTACCCACTCCCATCCACCCCACCCGGCCCCCTGCCTCCCTGGAGTCGGGCGGTCCCACTCACGCTCACCCACTACCCCGTTCAGGCCCCTGCACCCCAAGGGCTGCTCTAGACCCGGCTCCTGAGATAGCCGGGAGGTTCCACTCAGCTCCCAGGGACCACACTGGGCTGGGTCCAGGGCAAGCTCGGCCTCAGCTGCCCGGAGCTCGGGGCCCGGTGGCTCCCAGTGCCTGCTCCAGTCTGAAGGACTCTTGACAGTTGCTGGGGGGTCGTGACTCTGGCCCCTGAGCTCACAGGGCGATAAGCGCAGCCAGGGAAGAAGCACACGAGCACTGGCCTGGAGACGCCCTTTATTCTGGCACCCAGGCACTAGTGATGCTGCTGCCGGAACTGCAGGCCGCAGTAGCCGCACGTGCCCGTCTTGGTCTCCTTGTCCTGCAGCGGGGAGGGACACAAGCAGGCGACAGTCACAGGCGGCCCACACCCAGCGACCCAGGGAGCGGGCCCTGCCCCCACCCCAGGGGACACCCCTGCAGTGCAGGCATGGCCCTGCTGGAGCAGCAGGACACATGTATGCTTGTGCACGTGTCTGTGTGTGTATATTCTGGTGAATGATTCTGTGTACCCACGTATATGTGCCGGGGAGGTGTGTGAATAACTATCTGTGTGTGTACATATAGTTATGCACACACCTATATACCACCATGTATCATCACGCGTATAGCATCTGGGTGGCTATATCTGCCCATGTACATTTCCCTCCGTGCATGTCTGTGTGTATACATGTGTCTGTGCATGGTGATTGAGTCAGTGCAACTGTGTGTGCACACTATGCAGGCACACATATGTGTACTATCGTGTTTCCACAGGTCATTTTCTGTGTGCAAATGCGTATCTGAGCATGCACTTGTGTGCCGTCATGTACCTGTGTGGGTGTCTGCATCTGTGTGCCATCACGCATCTGCACGTCTGCGTGTGGTCACGTCTGCTCCTAGGTGTTCACGTTCGTGCTGTTATGCATCTGCAAATGTTTCTGCACCTGTGTATGTGTGCCATGTGTGTTCCTATGTGCATGCATGTCATCAGCGTGTTTCCGTGTGCATTAATTGCTGTCTTGTCTGGGTGTATATGCCACCACATGCCTGTTCTCTGTTCCTATGTGCATGTTGGCATGTGTCTATTTCTGCGTGAACTGCTGTCATGTATCTTGCTGGTTCTAGGTAAGCATGTATGTGTTGTCATGTGTCTTGCGTGTTCCTGGATATGCACGTATGTAACATGTGTCCATGCAAGGTTCCATGTGCACACATGTGTGTGCGCCTCCCTCCCATCTCTGAACTGCACACAAAGTGGCTTCCCAGGAGCTTGAGGACAATGGTGCAGGCTCGAGTCCCATCCCGGGAACCTGGCAGGAAGGCCGGGCCCTTACCAGGTTGATGTACACCCTGGGATGGCCCAGGGCACCCCCACCGCCATCACAGGCCACCACACGGCTGCCCACCTCGCTCACGGGCTGCTCAGCAATGAGGTCAATGGCGAAGTTCTCATTCACCTGCAACAGGAAGGAAAAGGGTGCGGGGAGCCAGGAAGGGTGCGGACGGGCACCAGGCACCACACGCCATCAGACCACGGAGTCCTGAACATGCACCACCCATGCACTCGGTCCAGTCAGCTCCATACACACCACATCCATGCAGTCCCCCACGTGCCATATCCACGCAGTCCATGCCCACCGCCACACAGTCACTGGGCCCCTGGGATGGGCCTGGCCCATACACTCCTGTCACCTCGACAATGTGTGCATACAGAGACTCGGGCCCACGGATATACATTCAGGCACATGTGTTCACACAGAAACCCCACGCGGGCCCAGTGGGCAGCCACTAATGGGCCAGTGCTAGAACAGTCACGGGGCAGGGGGGGGCTATTCCCCCCACCCCCGTGAGGACCCCAACCAGTAAGGTGAGGCTCAGACCTGGGCATCCGTGAGGCACGGCCAAACATGGGGTTTGGGATGACCCCCAGGGAACCTGAAGGCCAGACTGTTCTTTCTGACTCCAGCCGCCTGGCTGCCCGCCCCCACTCCCCCAAGCAGCAGGGTGGGGGGTCCCCCTTGGGCTGTGGGAAGGGCCCAGAGTCACAGGGCTGGGGGTCCTGGGTGGGCTGTGGGAAGCCCCGAAGCCAGGGTCCCGGGTGGGCCGTGGGAGGGCCGGCGCACCTCCTTCTGCCGGCCCACGAAGCGGATCCTCCTGTAGTCCCCAACGTCATAGGCCTGCGGGAGAAGTCGAGCCCAATTGGGGTCCGCGCGGGGTCCAGGCCCGGGTCACGGGATCACGGGGGCGGCGGGAGCCGGGGCTGCGCGGGAAGCTGGGGCCCGGGGCGCAGGGGCGGGGGCTGCGGGGCGGGAGTCCCGAGGGCGGGTCCGGGGCGGGGGTGCGGGGAGGGTCCCGGAATGGAGGTCCCGGGGGGGTCCGGGGCGGGGATGCCGGGGGCAGGTCCGGGGCGGGTCCTGGAATGGAGGTCCCCGGAGAGTCCGGGTCGGGGGTCCGGGGAGGGTCCTGGGGTGAAGGTCCCCGGGGGGTCCGGGACGGGGGTCCCGGGCGGGTCCCGCGGGCGCACCCACCTGGCCCGTGTGCGTGACCTTCTCCCCGCCCGGTCCGGCGCGCACCCCGAGCCCCCGCGCCCCCAGCGCGGCCCCGCAGCGGCCCAGCAGCGCGCGGAAGGTCACGGCCGCCGCCATCTTCACTGACCCCTGACCCAGGCGCGCGTGCGCAGAGCACGGGGAGGGGGCGGCCGCGGCCGGCGGGCTTCCGGGGAGCCGCTATCCGGCCCCGCCCCGCCGGCGGCCCAGGACCTGCGTCCGGGTGGCCCGCGGGGTCCGCAGGGGCGGTGCCGTGGCTCCGGGAGGCCCGGGACGGCCCGGGACGGCCCGGGCCGCGTCCCGCCCGCCCGGCCACGTGACCGCCGCCATCTTTACTCCGGGCGCACGCGGGCCTCGGCGTCACCGCCCACTGCGCAGGTGCGGACGGGGCGCGAGCGGGCCCCTCCGCGCGGCGGCCCGAGGCTCGGTGACCGCGCCGCTGCCCCGCAGGCTCGGAGCCGGCATGGCCTTCGCGAGGACGCTGCTGACCGCCCTGCGGCCCCTGCTCCAGGCCGGCGTGCGGGCCCCGGCGCTGCGCTGCCTGGCGCTGCCCTTCCCCGCCCATCCCTGCCCGGCCCTGCCCTGCCCGGCCCTGCCCTGCCCGGCGCCCGCGCAGACCTTCAAGACCAAGGCCGTGCTGCGGCGGCGCTGCCGGGACTGCTACCTGGTCAAGCGGCGCGGCCGCTGGTACATCTACTGCAAGAGCAACCCGCGGCACAAGCAGAGGCAGCTGTAGCGGCGCTGCAGGTGGGGCAGGGGGCCGGGCCCTTCGGACAGGTGGGGGGCAGGAGGAGCCGGGCCCCCGGACAGGTGGGGCAGGGGGAGCCAGCCTGCCGCCCGGTGGGGGACAGGGGGAGCCGGACCCTCCTGGACAGGTGCAGGGGGCCCGCGGCCAGATGGGGGGCGGGGGGAGCCTGTGCCCCGTCCCCGCCCCGCTCCCCTCCCAGTGCTCCTGCATTCCAGCCGCTCCAGCGGGACGTGCACATCCTGTGTGTTTCAGGTCGCAGAGGCCGGGGTGACCTTAGGAGAGCAGCCGCCTTGGTGTCCTTGGAAGATTCGCTGCTGGTCCCTGGGAGGGGAGATGCCAATAAAAATCCCAGCGGGGACTTTTGTACCAGGTGCCATGGCTTTGTGAACGGGTTGGCGAAGAGTCGGCCGCAGGGTTTGGCTGCGGACGGGACCCTGGGTTCCGGCGTCCTGTGGGACCAGAGTCTGGGAGATGCACCAAGAGGTGGGCAGGGGACCAGCGGAAGGAGCGGTGCCCAGAAGCAGTGCCTAAGAAGTAGGGCCGCGTGCCAGGAAAAGAGGTTTCCAAGCAGTGTCAGAGCAGCTCGTGGAGACTGGAGGTTTAGACCCGGGTTTCAGTCCCTGGTAAACATGCCGACCCCCTTGCCCCAGGCAGAGCATCGGGGTCAGTGGTGCAGTGGGTAAGGCACTTGCTTCCACGTGGCCAGCCCAGATGTTGTCCCCTGCGCTCTGTATGGTCCCCTCACCCCTGCCAAGAGTGACCCCTAAGCACTGCCGGCTGTAACCCCCAGAAAAATGTCTTTTAGTGACAGTGGACCGGGACTGGAGCAATTGTGCACAGCAGGTGGGATGTTTGCCTTGTACGTGGCTCACCTGGGTTTGAGCTCCAGCACTGCGTATGGTTCCCTGCGCTGCCAGGAGTGACCCCTGAGAACTGCCAGATGTGGCCCCAAAACAGGAAAGTGTAGATACTCACACGTGAGGTGTATGTGCATTTATCGGCCTGCGTGTAAAATCTAAAAACGTGTCTCGGAAATGGGATGCAGTGCTCACGAGTTGAGTTATAGAGTGACGTAAGAAGGGGGAAAACCCAATCAGATCCAACTGTGTTAACAGCAGAGGCTGCTGTCCAAGAAGCACTGCCAAGGGACCGGGAGAGGAACGGAAGCTCCTGAGCCGCAGGCTGAGAACCTGAAAATCACCAGACAGCATCCCAGTTAGGAAGGGGCCACAGGTCGGAGAGAAAGACACAGGGTAGCAGGACAGCTTATACCGTCCCAGTCGCGGTGAGGTCGTTGTGCCCAGGAAGCCAACCACACGTGAGTGTTGGAAAACAGGAAAACCAACTGTTCTTAGAAGCAAGGGCGGCTCGTGGCCGAGCAGTTGGGCGAGGGGCAGGAGTGCCGTGGTTTCTCAGTGCAGTGCTCTGCTGGTGCTCAGTCCGAGAACCAAGGTCGGACAGTCCCGGAGACTGCCGCAAGCCCTCAGTGGGTAAGGTGCCATCGTGGTGAAAGGCCCACTGAATGCAGTGTCCTTTGAATGCAGTGTCCTCTGAATGGAAGGGTCCGCGGTAGTGGGAGGTATTTATTGTCAGGAAGTTGCCATAAATGCACACTTTTGTAGACCCTGCTGCATCTTGACTGGGCAGAGAAGCCTGGACCCCAAAACTTCAGACTTTGGTTCTACGTCTGGCACTGCGGAGAAGTTGGTCTTGGGGTGGACACAAGTTGGCCAGGTGGGTTGAGGGAACATGCTGGTGTTGCGGTGGTTCCCATGTGACACCTGCGGGACCGCACAGCCTGTGGCAGGGTTACGCACTAAAACAGCACGTTGAGTTGTGAGCTGCCGTGCCTCCCCCTCAGACCCACTGCCACCAGCCGGGCCCCAGCGGCAGCCCCGAAACCCACCAGAACAGGCAGGGGGGTGGCAGGCTGCAGCCCCTTCAGATGCCCCGGGGGTCTGAGAGGCGGGCCCTGACCCCCAAGCCTCGTGTCAGGAAAGCCAATGCTCTCGGGAGCTGAGCTGTGGCCAGACGGGCGTGGGGGGCCCTACCCCAGCTGCAGTGCCAGCTCAAAGCAGCCGACAGGCTGAGGGCCGGTCACCTGTTCTGGGAGCCCCTTTCCCTGCCCACAGGGGCCCCTGTGGACACTGACCCACTCTGTCTCCAAGCACAGCTTCTTCGAGGGAACCTCCCAGAAACAGCCCAAGTCAGATGCCTGCAGAGAGGCGGGGCCGGGAAGGGTGGTGGGTGGAGTCACTGGCACCTAAGGGGCCTTGGGGACAGGCTCCTGGGGCTAGTCCTCTGGGACGGGCAAGAGCAAGCCCAAGAGAGAAGTGAGGCCCAGGGCCCTGCCTTGGTCACATGCCCCACCCCTCACTGTCCCCTTCATGCCTCACCCAACCCTGACACCAGCCTTCACCCCAGGGCGCCCTGCCACCCTGACCCCGCCTACCCCAGCACTGAAGGCATCTCTGGGTGCCGGCAGCACGCAGGCAGCTGTGAGGCTCGGTCCCTCCCTGCCCACCAGCCCGCGTATTCAAACACGGGCTGTCAGACACACATTCACACGCTGTCATCTCGCCCACTCTTGGTCACATACACACACACACGCATGTGAGGGTACCGAAGGGCCATTTGGGAAATGTAGGCCCAGCCCCAGGTACTTTCCTCCAGGGCCCAGAACACACCTGGACAACCCTGTTTGAGATGACAGCTGTCTTGGAACCCCATCACCCTGCCCCAAAGCCTGGGACCCCTTTGCCTTGTCCCAGGGGCTGGAATCCCCTAACCCTGCCCTGGGGCTGGGGTGCCCCTCCTGTGCCCAGGTATCTCTAGCCATCAGTTCCCCAGGTGGCCTCACACAAGCCCCCTTCGTGCCCTGCAGAGCAGCTGAGGGTGGGGTCTGAGTCGGGGGATCAAGAGGCTCAGGGATGGGGCCAGAGGGTCCCCTGGGGCACAGGTGCTGAGGGTTTGGCTCCAGATGGGCACTGGGTGGGCACTCTTCCCCGCTGGACGCCGCAGCCAGTCATGGGACCTCAGTGTCTCCTCAGCCTGGGGGCATCTGCCAGGGTTCCAGGGGCTTGGGCATGGGGTGCTGTGCCCCCATGAGAGCCGACTGCTGTCTTGAACATTATTTTGAAAGTGACTCTGTTTTAGGGGCTTGTGCGTGGCGTTCCCCTGTCCCCTGGGAGGGGTCCACGGCCCAACCGGGAGGCTGGTCCCCGCAAGTCTGCCCCCAGGTGGTTATTTCCATCTGCCCCCCCCCCCTTCTCCTGTCTGACTTTGTCTTAGTGACTGTGATTCCCAATTAGAGGTCAATTATTTTTTTCCACATTCCGGCTTGTCATTTTTCTGTTTATAAAGCATGGCAAACACAAGAAATTTCCCGAACAAAGAGCTGTTTTGCAATGCATGAGAAATTCACTCTGGCCGTGTCACTATTCCGTGACAACACTGTCAGAAATCCCAGGGCTGGGGAACTGGCCCGGCCCCCTACGTGGGGGCTCGCAGACCCCCTGGTGGCCCATGAAAGATTCATGGTCTCGTCTGTGCGGGCAGCCACTAAGGCGCTTTGCCTACACACTGGGCCGGGTCCTCCTGGTGGCTGGCCAGATGCCCTCCCATCTGTGCCCGAGAACCTGGACCAGCTTCCTTGCTAACGTCACTTGGGGATGGCCGTGGAGGTCCCAAGGGCCGCTCGCTGAGTGCGGCCTTCCTTGGTGTTTGCCGACGTTTGCTGCACAGCACCCGACGCCTAGTCGCCTGTGTGGGTGTCTCTGCACACAGGTGTGCCAGGCAGTCGCTCTGCGGGGGCAGCAAGTAGCCTGGGGGTCCCCTGCTCCCTCTCCTCCTTCGGTGCCCCCCCCCCCATGCTCAGACGTGTGCTGGGCTCTCCCCGTCTCCAGAGAAGCCGCATTGGCTCTGCGCCTGTCTCTCTCCCTCCTTCCCCTCCTAAAAGCCTCCAGATTAATCTGTCTCTACTCCCTGGTCTACTCCAAAAATCCTTTCTGTGAGACAGGACGAAACCCTAGAATCCCTGAGAAGGCCTGGCCCGACTCTCCCCTACTCAGAGCAAATCCTCGCTCCCAAGAGCTCTGTGGCGGGACCAGCTCCCAGCCGAGCAGACCAAGGTCAGGTGTGGCGTGACAGCCCCTGCTGGGTCCAGTGGGCTCTGGCCTGTGCCGTGCGGGTCTCTGCAGACTTTATCAGCCCGACCTTCCCAGCTGACACGGGGCAGCAGAGGGGACAGAGAGAAAGTGGCCTCTGGCCTGGGGCTCCAGGCAGTGGGAGGAGGCGCCCCCAAAGCAGGGTGGGACAGTGACCAGCATCTCTGTCCCGCCCCGGCACCCCCAAATCCATCATCAGCCCATACCCACCTGCTTCCTCAGAGTCCCACAGTGGTCTGGGCCCTGATGCCCCCTGGAGCAGCTCCCAAGGCTGGTCCCCAACCTCCTAAGGAGGGAACCTTCTAGAAGCACTCGGCATTGGGATCACCGTCCGACATGGTTCCCTGGCAGGTGCCCGGCTGTCAGCATTGGGGGCTCTCCAGAGCAACCCCCAAACTGCTGTGTGTACTATTGTGCCTCTCCCCAGGCATCCGTCCCCTGGGCAGGGTCCCCTGGAGGAGGGGACGAGCTGCCATCCTGAGTGTCACCTGCGAGGGCAGAGGCACCTGGGAGAGGCCACGGTGGGGGGGTCGGAGTGTCAGGGTCAGTGGAGCCCCCAACCAGGGGCCACAGGGAGCCCAGGGGATCTTTCTTGGTGGGACAAGGGCAGGCAGCCGGGGGCTCGCTGTGCTGGGGGCCTGTGGCCAGCCCAGGATCCCCGCTGGGTTGCGTGCCCCAGGGAGCAAGGACCAGCCTGCCCGCGTGCCCCTGCCCCCCCCACCAGTCTTGGGGGAGTCCAGCAGCCCTGGTGCTTATAGGATAACATTAGTTTGTCCTTCCTCCCTTGCCACAGGCTCCTGGAGCTTAGGTTTATCCGGTTACACCCATCACAGTGCTCCCTAGTCACTCCCATTTCTCTCTGCTTATCTGTAAACTCTTCTCTGTGCTCTGCTTCCAGTTAATCACCTTTTTCCCCTAATCAGATTCTGTTAACTTGTAAGATCAGATCCTTCTAAGGACACTGAACTTGTAAGTTATGTCTTTTACATAGTTTACCATAAAGCAAGGTCCTTTCTGTATGGACACAGAAAAACAGTTAACATTCTGCTTTTGTAACTTGGGAGTTGATTGACTCCGAATAATATTTATTCCTGGTCATCTGCTTTCTCGACTCAGTTGCCCTTAGTTCCTAGCAACCCAAAAGCAAGGTCCCGACAAGGGACTGAATGAACCCAGGGCAAGCTGTGAGCTACCCTGGCA